GGAGTTGACATGTTCTCCCCATGTTCATACTAGATTTTTCCAGGTGCTCCCGTCTCATGACTCTAGGAATATTTTTTTTTATGGAAAGAATGAAAAGAGTGGATAGATACATACTGTAAAGTTCAGTGGTGCATCTGGGAGATAACAGATGTAAGACTCTTTCGTTCTAACACTAACTGTTATAAGTTAAGGGTGTGATTATAATGATAATTAATTGTAATAAATTTTATATAAAATTATATGTAAACCTATATTATATCATACAAAACTCTCACTTTAGTCAGAAGAGATTCCAGCCATGGCCATTTGAATGATTTCTTCACTCCTGGCATAGTTTTAAGATGGCGCAACAAACAGGAGCCAAACTTTAAAGACAAAGGATTATACACAACAGAAATACTTACAAGACATTGACTCGTGAAACTGTTTTTTCCCTAGAGTGTCCATGAGTCCATGTCTCCTGCAGTTCAAAGTTACCCTAACTTGACCCCAACAAAAACAGACCAACAATAGTGCAAACTGACGCACAGCAGTTTAGGGAGGAAATGCAGATTTCTACACAACAGAACACCCATCACAGGACTGTCTACTCGCTAAATTTGGCATGAAACTGAGTGAATTGCTTCTCTAAACCAGCTTATGAATCAGATGCAAGCTCTGCCTGGTGGGTCATAAAGTAAATACAGTACATTAGTTGAAATATAAAAATAAAACCTGATTTATTTAATGTAAAAACCAATAACAAAACAAAAAGGACATTTCTATTTTAATCTTGGGAATCTTTCTTTGTAAAAAAAGAGTTTCCAAGGCGAAGTTGCAATTAATGCTGACAATACAGTTTCACACACATTATAAATTCTATCTGCTGTTCTAAAGTAAATTTACTTCCTTGTAGCCCAAATACAGTAACCTTTCTTGTTGCCAGGCAATCACTCCTCAAGAAGGCTTCTGAGCCTTTCTTTAATTTACAGACTCTTTCAGATATCTTGGTCTACATTTACAATGAGATGCGCACTTCTTAAATTAAAAAGCCAATTAAAGCACACAAACACAAAATCAACCAAAGCCGATTTTAGATGTTCCCGGCATTTATTCTTTGTCTAACATTTTCATGACAAAATCTACTATTAGTGATTGTTGCAGTGGTTTCAGTTTATAGTGGCATTGTGGCATTTATTTTATCACAGAGATCGCTCATTTTTAATAAAATTAATCTGTTACCTGATCCAGATGATGGAGCTACATATTTAAAAACTACGTTTTGGGGTAGTCTGTTTTTTTGGAAATGTTTTCTGGGAGGGAAATTCATGCAATGTGAAGGATTGATCGTGGCCCTGTTTTGTATATAATTATATCCTAATTTTAAACTAAAAAAAAAATTCTTCAAACAAAAAACACTTCTTTTTGATCATATTTCTTATTGTAGGAAGTCTTCCTCTCAATGCTATTCCAGTTTATACAAATATTCTGTGCACACTGGCAGTAAAAATGTTGCTGAGAAGACGAATCCATGAAGTGTTTAGCCTGCTACTCTTCTGTCTCAAGTACAAGAAACAACCTTACATCAGCTATTTGCTTTTGTATAGATATTACATGTTGGTGGACAATGGAGTTGCACTTGGCCTTTGTAACAGGGCACATTTGTCACTGAGCCTGTTATCGAAGGTAATTTCATCAAGTAGGAACTGGGATACCATTGAATTCTCGCGTGTCAGATGCCCCAGTGTTTTTGCATGAAGGAATTCTGGGTTATCTGGACAATGATGCCATGTTGCTCTGAAGCCAGAGGGATATGTGTGGCTATGATCAAATCCTGACAAGTGCAGGGCTGTACTTATCAGTGGCTGAGGTTGCTACAGAAGAGAAATTGGAATTTAGAGGAGGAGAATGCAGCAGAGCTCATCTGGTACCAGGCCTGTAATAGAAGGTGATGTCACCTCCTTGGAACCTGGATGGTGTTGAATCCTCCGGAGGCTGTAAGCCAGGCCTTGTGGCGCAGCAAAATTCTCTGCTGCCTGGGTAGTGGAACTGTGTGACTCTGAAGCTGAAGGTGGTTGTGAGCAGCTGTGGTAGAATCTTGCAAAAGCAGAACTGCACTTCTCACACTATCTTGTGTTTGTGCACCAGCAACACAATTCCACTATCGCTTTATCACCGACAGGTCAAAGGCCTTCCGCAACATTTTCACTATCTCTTGCTTGTTTTTCTTCTTGCATACTGCTCGTTTTTTTTTAATTGACTCATACAAACATTGTTCCTTTTGGCAGTGCCACTATGTAATGTCCTTTTTAATCAATTTTGTGATTTAGTGACTATTCCGTGTCTTTATGAGATATATATATATACACTGCTAGGAAGGCAACTTGGAGATAATGTGTTTATTTTCCAACATGTCAAAGATTCAGTGAAGGTCAATACATTATAGAAAAGATAATACTGCTGTGGAATCAATTAAATAAAGAGTAAGGTTATTTCCTAACCTTACATAAACATCACAAAGTGAAGGGTTTAATGACCAGATGACCAGACTGTTCCATGATTAATAAAACAAGGACACAAGGGCTCAAAAGGAAATCATAAGGGCATGTACTAAGAAGCTAAAATCAGAGTCACATCTTTTACAAGATGGACTTGAAGGTTTGGAATACACTACACAGCCATATTGTACAGGCAGATTCCCTGGCATCTTTCCGGAAAATAATGGATAATATCCTCATATTAGTAAACTACCAGGAACCACAGGGGTTACAGTGGGCCAGCTGTCCCTCTCTCAGCTGTAGGAAGAGAAAAAACAAAAATTAAGTACTGTTTTCTCCAATTCCCCAACCTTAACCCCACTGACTGTGACTGTGGCGATAACAATCGACCACTGATGTTGTGTGACAGACTTTCCATTTTCCGTTGTGCTTTGATAACTCACAAAGGTGGATGTTTTGATATGAAAACCTTGCAGTATGGTGATAACAAAATCTGCCCTCTGCTGCATTTTCTTTTCAACCGAAAAAGTAATTTTCATGAAAATCTATAATTTATGGTAATCCAAGATGGGATTAATTCTGTTTTAGCTTTATATACTGTAAGTAGGGTTATCGCCCTGTTTTTATTGCAAGACCAATTATCGTGTTTTCTTTTAAATAGCATTATGATTACCATGCCTTGGGTTATTAGCATTCAGATACATAAATACAGTTGTGTGAATGTCCCAATTTGGTCATACTTGCACAGCAGCGTATACAAAGATGGATATGAAGATGATATAAATTATGTTTTCAATCCCAGAGTTTGGGACACAACTTCTGAGTTAGACCTTAAAACCCAGTTTCATGAAATGTAGGTAATGCTTTTCTTGAACAACATATAGTATTACATAGGTTTGATGTAAATATGTATTGTTTGTTTAAGAAAATCTTTGATTATATGCAATTGCTTGGAAGAAAGATGGATTTGCAAAGAGATTTAAGTCTTGACTCTCATCTGTGCAACTTTAAAATCACTTATGGCTACTGAAATATTAATTTAATAACATTTGCAATGTTTATGGGGTACATACCTAGAGGAAGAGGATGTGAAGTACATGCTGAGAAAATTGCACTGAAAATCTTTGACTTAATAAACACAATTCTATAAAATCTTTAAGAACAAAATTTTCCCCTGCTATCCCCCGGTCTTCAAAATAAACTTACTCCCCCACGTTTGAACAGTTAAACTACATCAAATTCAGACTTGTGGAAAACAGCAAACAGAAATGTCAGCCCTCTCTGCGGGCCGAGTTATGCTCAGATCTACCGAGTAGATGCGCGCACACACACAAAATTCCTCAGGATGATGTCAGGATTTAGCAGGAAGACGAGTCGCTCATTTCCCTAACAGTACAGTACGTGCTTCTTGGTCCATGAAAAGGAAACTTTTCTGTAAAAGAGGAAAAAAAAACTACATCTTAGGTTTTTATTTTTATTTTTTACAAACCTAGCATTCGTGGCCAGGGATAAAGTTTTGGTTGGCTGCTATTTAGTTTTTTTTTTTAATGGATTTTGCAACTTTAATGAGGTTCTAGATGCAGCGTATTTAAGTCTTCCCCTCTACCCTTTTACCGGCCGACAGCCTCTCCTAGTGGCTTTTGACAGATCGAGAGTGCCGGGGAAGGCCCGCTAGCCTGACCCTAGAGAGGGCAGCATTCCTCGCATAGCATCCAGTTGCGCTGGGGGAAGAGTGCGAGAAGGCAACTTCTGGAGAAAGGAGGCAGCTGCGAGATCTGCGCCTCAGAGCCGCTGGACACGTAGCAAGCTGGCAGTTGGACCTGACAGGATTTTCTTACATCCCTGTAACAGCACTTCGAATCGATTTGTTACAGTTTGTTTCCTAGCTCTAAGTTTATTTCCCCTTGTTGGAATAAAAGGAGAAAAGGCGCTGTTTTTTTGTTAGAACTATATACTAAACAAGCAGCGCCTATCCTGGAAAACTAAAACGGATGGGGGTACTGTATCTATAACTTTTCTCACTTTCAAAATGAATGTGAAGAAACAAAAAGTGCGTCGGTAGAATTGTCAGTGTCCTTTTCCTCCGTCTTTGTAGTCTGTTGCTTTTTTGAAGCGTGATGCCAAGTTGCGACACTTTGAGGGTGTATTTTCATCTCCGTTTATGTCAGTGCCACGTTTGAAACTGCGTCTGCATTTGCGGTACGGTCATTAGTTAACTCTATTGCTACGGGAGGCAGCAAGAACTGCTGGGAGGGAAATTTATGCGATATTGTTGAGGAGCAAAGTCTTCTTTCTAGATAAGCAGAACAGCGGTCATCGGTCTTCTGCTGGTCCGGCGGTCCACAGAGGAGCACCTAGCTCCAGCTCAAGCATGCTGGAGTGAAGCAGGATGGCATCAGCCGTGTTTGAGGGCACATCTTTGGTGAATATGTTCGTGAAGGACTGTTGGGTCAACGGGATACGGAGGCTTATCATTAGCAACAGAGGGGACGAAGAGGAATTTTTTGAAATTCGAACTGAATGGTCTGACAGGAACATATTGTACTTGCACAGGAGTTACTCTGATCTGGGTAGGCTATTTAAAAGGCTGCTGGACTCTTTCCCCGAAGACAGAGGTGACCTCGCACAGTCGCCCCTAATAGAAGGTAAGAAAGTTGATTGGAAAAAAAAAGAAGTTTGCTAGGTTTTAAGGTTTTACAGAAGTATTAACTTACACCACGGGCTATTTTGTCCGTATTTCCAAAGTTAAAATATTTGGTTACATTTTGCACCTAATGTCAGTGATTTTTACACAGAAACACCTTAACAGGAAAAGTTTGATGTGGCATTGTTGCTAAAATGGATGCGCGGTGTTCATAGACTACAGTAGCCTCATTTAATTTTATTTTTTTGATATAAGCGCTTATGTGGATTTAAAAAGAAAAATGTTGTTTTTCACTTTCTATAAATATTTGACAAGATTTGGAGAAGGTGTTGTTAACAGGTAGATTTAGCTTTACGCTTACGAGTGTTTACTTATATTGTTGATATTAGACATTTGCCATGGTTTTAAAACAATAATCGTGCGAAGTATAGTATAAATATATTATATTTTGTTTAGTTGATGCTTTGGTTATGTTACATAAAACCCGTTAAATAAATTATATTGGCCTGACCCGATGACACCTGAAACCAAACGTATCAACTAGCGATGAACTAGCTTCCAAGTTCAGTATTCTTCCTTGGAAGTTATCACTTAATATATGTTTCTTACTCTCTCAGTTGCATTTTTTACACAAAGTAAAGAAAGAATATTTCAAAAAGTTTAAAATTACTATCTGTGGTGCATTTAAGATCTTTGAGAAACTGGCCAATATGTGTTTTAGGGCTGCCCTCTTCTGTATCTCAGTGGAACTTCAGAACTTTGTGTATAATACAACTTTTTTTGAGTAAAATGTCTCGTTAATATAGATATCATTGGAGACTTGTTAAGGCATACGAGTCCAACAGTAAACAGAGTACTCTGTTATGAAAGCAATTACACGGAAATACGTCTAGTAAAATAACTGACAACATATTTTTTGTGGCATTATTCTCTTTTGGTCCCGCGTTCTTGTGAATTCCAAAATGAAGACAACATACAGTATTCCATCCGAAGGTTTCTCGTGAAATATAAAGAGTAAATTATATTCTGAACAGCCTACTAACAGAAGATGTGGCATCGCAAATAGTGCTGCATCACACAATTCTGTGAAAATTGCAAATCTGCACATTCTATGAATTATCACAAAGCTCTTGTTCTGTAAAGAGTATGAAAACTCTTTGTCCAGTGTTATATTGTATTTTCTAATTGTATTAGACGTCTGTCCACTACTACCAATAAACCCTACTGTGTGTCTGCTTCTGTCGTTCAGGCTGATGTGCTGGAATCCTCAACTATTCTAAATGTGTTTTACAGACATCTATCAGAAATGCACTTTGAATAAAGTGAATAAAGTATTGGGCACAAGGCAAGATACACTCTGGATGTGATGCTGGTCTATTGCAGGGCACACACAGAGACAAACACGCACCTGCACACACTCACACCAGGGCTAATTTAACAGAAGCCAATTAACCTACAAGTGTGTCTTTGGATATTGGGAGGAAACCCACATGAATGTGGATAGAACATACAAACTCCACATAGATAGCACCCCAGGAATTGCACCCTATACCCCAACACTGCGAGGCAGCAATGCAAACCACTGTGTCACCGTGATGCCCACATGATACTTATACCAATACTAATATTTTAGCAATTGTTATTTTAATATTACGGACTCCATATAATAAAATAATGTTCTCTTCCCACAGGGATCCCAAAGAAAAAGCTATTCTCAGTGAAAGGAATATAGTATTTCTGGCAGTATGTGGAAATAAATGCAAATAAATTACTTTTTCACTTTTCCTGGTTATTAATTGCAGTTTGTCATTAGACAAACCTTTAGCATTATAACCTTTAGGGATTATGAACCTTTAGTAATAATGAAGTATATGTTTTTTTTTCTCCCCACAGAATATTAATTGTAAAATCAATGTAATTTCTCAGCAGGGTCATGTGTGACTTTTACCACAGAAACTGTTAATGTGCTAAGGGTGATTTTGCAGATCATGCCATTTTAAGAGGAAGTTGAGGTTGAAGTGTTTGACTGCTGGCAGAGTCTTTAGGAAGTTCTTTTCTCAGTATACTCTACATATTTCAGTTCCACATGTGAAAAAATGCACATTTCAACGTTTTAATGTGGTAAGAGAAAAGAGGAGTAAAGAAGATCCTAGCCTAGAGAAAATTTGCTGTTTGCATTCAACCTGAATACATGGGAGACTGGTTAACTAATACCTCCAATGTTGGGTATAATGTGCTTTTTTGTATTAGTTTTAGTATTTCTTTCAAGGATTCCACTGGTTTTAGCAGCTATACAGATTGTATCCAAGCTTGACCAAGGCTGTATTTTCTTCTGTATTAAGCATAATAAAGCATAGCATAGATATAGCAAAGTATGATAGATATTGGTAAACATGGTAAAGGAAAAAGAATGTCAATATCCTCTGATAAGCACTCAGAAAAGGGGGTCCAAGTCCAGCAACATGCAGAAGAAATGTCTTTTGAGTAACCCATTCTGCACAGTTAGTGCCTTTTACAGTGTACATGTAAGGCACAGACAAGATAATGCTTTAATCTGGACTTTTTCTTAAGAAAGTGACTATATTCAGTTTTTTTATTTTTGGAAATGATTATATGAGTAAGATATGACCAATTAAGGGTTTTAGTCTTTCAGGGCCAGAGAGCCTTTAATACCATTTAATAATTACAACTTGTAGGTTGAAATATTGGGTGACCTGTTCACAAAACATTGGAACCTTACTTCAGTGGTTTTTGACACGCGTCTCAAAGCTGAAAAAGTAACTAGTATATATACTAGTATATAGTATATATACAGTATACATAAATGGGAAAAGCTGTACAAACCTCTTTTCAAACAATAGACACCAAATTATGGAATTTCTTTGTCACAAGCGGATTAGTGTGAAAATCCAAACCCACTGTTGTCTGTAATTATGCCCACTCAATTAGGTATTTTTGTTAAATAGCTAAGCTGCCTAAGCAGTATGGCAAAAAGCTTTGGTTCAATCACTACTTCCTGCATAAAAGTAAATTAGGGAAGTTGGGGATGTCCCCTCACATTGTTTATTTGTCAGAGGAGGTTCAGCTTGACATTAAAATGGAGTTCCCCCACCCCATCTAAAACTGAAGTCCAGACATCCCAAGGAAGGGGTGCAGTTGGGGTTCTCCCCCTTGTCCAAGCGAAGTTCAGAGAATTGAACCTACAGAAAGTAAGAGTAGTGGGAAGGATGAGTTGTTTATAGAAAAGCATAGAGCTGGTGGAGGACCCTTTTATGAACAATGGCCAAAACAAAGTCTCAGTCTGGGGGAATCCATTACACAGCTGAGAGTCCAAGGTATTCCAAAAGCGAGAGATTTATTAGGTGTGTAATCACATAAAGCATAATGTGGCTTGTTTGAGTCCATAAATAAACAATTATGAAGAGAAGCACTCAAAGAAAACCATTGTATTTCTCTTAATTTGTACTGAAAGCAACATTTTTCTGTAAGTCATGCAAAGAAGGCTGCTAGTTTGGTACTAGATGGTTGCCTGTTGCAGTACAGAACCAAGGAAACCAAACAACAGGAATGCAAAGCAAATGAAAGCATTATGCAATTCCTATGTGTCACACAGCACCCTGCAAGCTAAATTAAAGTTTTCGCTCTATATTTAGCCCCTTCTGCCTTCAAGTTCCACCCTGTATGACATGTGATTCTCATGTACTGTAGACATAGTCCAGGAATTCATTTTCTGCTGCCGGTAATCCTTTCCCACATATAAAGAAAGATAGCAACTATTCCAGGGACATACTATATGTTTTGTGAGTATTCACTCACTTTCAGCACTCTTTTGGACTATAATGAAGAAAGAATGGCCCATCATTTTGAGAATTATGTCAGATTTCTGAGCCAGGGTCTGTGGCAACATAATGAAAGTCTTTCACTGTATCATTACAAACTTGGTGACATGGCACGTTTTTTTTATCTGGGAAACAACTGAAAAGTAAATCCCAAAGTCAGTGTGGAAAGTCCTTTAGAAAATTAGACTTATAGTATGTGTACGGACATATGCACATTTTATACATACACATTTAGCCCAAAAATGATTATACTGATGCAAGTTATGTTTTTTTTAGATTTCAGAAATCTATTCCACACATTGTTTGCCTTCTCTCAAGCTGTTTCTCTACTGAAATCTTATCTACTGTAGGTCAATTTGCTTTGTTTCATACTTGTCTAATAAGAAATGGAAGTAAAATAGGTCCAGTGATTAATGTCACATCTACTGTATCTAGAAAGTGTGGATAGATTTGCTGCTAAGGTTAAAAATAAATTTCAAACTTATACAATTTAAATATGTTAAGTTTTCTTTCAACCTTACACATTTATTAAGAGAAATGATATGCAGTATTTGTTACTTTACACAATTCTGTTTTCTTTTAGTTTTTAAATTTATATTGGTCATACATCTGAGATCATCATATTATTATATGAACTGTAAAATGTCCATGTTCAAATGCATTAACTTTCTGATCATTATGTGTTTGGGAAAATAAAATTGAAAAAATTGGTCACAAAAGTAGTCTTATCAATAAGTGAGTAACACAAGCTTTGCATGTATCTTGCTTACTGAGTTTTACTAATCTATTTTGTGCGTGATTGGAAGTCTAAGTAAGCGAATCAATCTGGGTAAAAATGTTTTTTCCAAGTTCTACCCATTCCAGATCGTAGTATGTATAGTATAATGAAGAATGTACTGTTTGTGGTGTTTTACAACAGGAAACCATTAAGATACTGCAGAAATTTAACACCTTAACAGGAATTATTTGTGATAAAATCACAGCAGGTATTTAATCAGTGTGCTTGCTGACAGTCAATTTGTGCACACTGACCATAAATACAATAGAGAAGCACTCAAGTAACAGGAGTGGATGCCTGGGTGGTGACCTTCCTTCCTTGCTCTCTTGACTCCCAGCATAAGCCTAAAGGCACACTAGTCTGGACGAAGTTGTCCATATCCAC